AATTAACAGAGCCTAGACCTTTGTGGAGGAGTCCTGGTGTGGTGCTGTGGGCTAATGAGTCAGACTGCAAAGTCAGTTTGAACTGCAAGATCGGTGGTTCAAGCTCACCAGCTGCTTCTTGGAAACCCTATACACGGTCGCTATGGGTCAGAATCAACTCAATGGCACTTAACAACAACAACAACAACAACAGACCTCTGTAGACAGCAACCCAGTGGGTAAGTACATTCCAGAGAGAGGCCCAAAATCACTGGAAGTAGTCTTCAGATTTCAGAAGCTACATTTTTCTTTTGGTCCACCTAGGGCTTGTCTTCAGAGATCTAGTCAAAAATATAAGGAATAAGTTCAGTATGAGTTATAATGTGTCCTGAGACAAAGAAGAGAAACCCTAAAGCTCATATGCCTAGTAGCTCCATCACACATCAAACTATTCTAGACTGATTGGACCTTTTAATTTTTTGCTTCATAATTAAGCAAACTTCCCTCCTGACCTGACTCCGACACCATCAGCAGGTCTCTGGAGTTGGTTATAGCCAGCCCCAGTATAGAACTACCAGGGTGGTATAGAAAGAGCACTGTGTGACTGTTGTTCAAAAGGAGATACAATACAGGTGAGGAGAGGATACCATGCTTTTTCCAGACATCAGGCATTTTAACATTCAGTTTTCTGTGTACACATACATGTATTAATGTTTGTTGTTGTTAAGTGCTGTCGATTCGGTTCTGAGCTCATAGCCACCCTATATAGGGTTTCTGAGGAGTGACTGGTGAGCTTGAACTGCCAACCTTGTGGTTCTACCGACTTTGAAGTCCAGCACATTTACCCATAGGGCTACACCAAGACTCACATATTAATATAGAATTTACTTAATGCATGAAACAACCTTAAAGTAGCTATTACTCCTCCTATTCACAGACTGATCAAGATACTAAATCAAAGACAGTACGTTGTCTAAAGTCACAGAGCTGGAAATGCTGCTGTTAGTTAGTATATGAAAACCTGTATGTCTTGTCTGTATCTGTATCCATGTTTATTTGACTCCTGGTGCCTCAAACCCACCTTCAGAATGTCTCTCACAGTATATACATGGGCATGTCATCAGTATTCAGGTAAGGATCTCCTTTAGCGGGTTAGTGCAGAAAATATTTCTCTGGAGTTCAAACCATGTGTAGTGTCAGCTTGGTAGAGAGTATTTTTATATGTGTGCTCCAATTCATAACTTAATTACAATTTAAATGACTGAACTGGGTCTAACACGTATCAACATCAGCTACCTGGGTAAAAAAGGATTTTTGGATGGAATAGCCATTACCTTGATTTATGCCAATATTCAATAATTAAATCTTTTTCTGCTTTTGGATTGTGATCTGTTAATGCTTCAGAATGTTTTAGACATCCTTCCTGATCTATGATAAAATTATGTATTGACCAGTGTTCTCCTTAAAACACTATTCCACCCCTATAATTCTTGGGGTGTTGTGGGTTAATGTGATGTACTGCTAAGTCAATTTGAACAATATTGGTGGTTCAAGCTCACCAGGTGCTTACCAGATGCTCCTCAGAAACCCTATACAGGGTTGCTATAGGTCGGAACCAATTCAATGGCACTTATCAACAACGGCATACAAAGATGTCCGTGTAACAAATATGAGTGTTAGGAAACTATTTGTAGGATGCACACTTTTGGTCTAATCCTCATATTTAACACCAAAATTTCAGGAAAGGAAAGTAGCTGTCAAGTGAGAAGAGCTTCAATTTCTATCATGTGTTCTTTACAGTAGTACTCTGCAGTAGGTATTCTCATTTTACATATGAAAAAGACAGAGAGATATCAAGAGGTAAAGCTATTTGCCCAAACAGATCTTCATCAAAAAGAGTAAGAGAAAAACCTGGAGTAGGAAATCTTGATTTGTTTGATTACAGAGTTAGTGCCCTGAATTGCTGTGTCATGCTGCATCCCAAAACCTCTCATCTCTTTGCCATCTTATCTGATAAATTCAATATACTTTATATTTGATGCCTGAAGAACTAACTCCACAGTTGTTATTTGCACAGTAACGTATCCAATTAATACAATTGCTGAAGAGTTGATGTGTGGTTAAAGTTAAAAAAAATAAAAAATAAAATTTTAAAAAAACATTGTAAAAGCTTACAAAATGTTCATTTCTTTTCAATATATAGTCAATGCCTGACCAAGAAGTCAGCAAACTCATAAAAACTGTGTGCTAAAGCCTCAATTGGGGACCTTCAAAGACTCTATTGGGACATCTCTTATAATTATATACTATGTAAATATAATTACTCTTTATCATTTAGACCAAAAACAAACTGAAATGTGCTCTTTTAAAGACAATTTGGGGGGATTTTGCAATTATGTTGTCTCCCCTGCTTGCCTGTCCACTGTGAAATAGACTAGAGACACCACAGAAAGCCTTCTGAAAGAGGAGCAATCTAGAATGGGCCTTTAAGGAAATTTGCCCTGGTAAAAACCCAGGAGGTGGGGAAGCAAAAACATGACTGAGTGAAGAAATTCACTATGGCAAGTCTGGAATTTCTGAGACTTGCTGACTCTGCCCAGCACCATATGGGAAAAATCAAGAAGGCAGCAATGAGACAGGGAAGGGCCTGAATCAAGCCATGTGCTTTTAGATTTGGAGCACTGAGGGAGTGAAGCCATAGGAGTCATCACTAGATATTTAGTTGGAGGTATCTGAAAGGCAGAAGGGCAAGAAGGTGCTGACCCACCCTACCTCCACCTCCCCTCCCAATCTTCTCCATCTCTTTAAAGACTAGAAAGCAAGAAGGATGTGGTTAATAAGAAGATCGTGTGATTAATAAGATCTTGATCTTTTTTTACTGTTTTATAGCATACCCTTCTTTTGAATTCCTCTTACCAGATAATGGGCAAAATGCCAGAAAGATTTGGTATCACTTTTATGACTTAATTCAAGCTATAGGTGATTCTCAAATTCTCAGCAAAACAGCTTAGTAGTTTTTCCTTAGAATAAACTTTGCTTAAGGAACTTCATTCATTCTTCTTCATTCTGTTTATTCATGAAATCTGGGTGACCTTAAAGATCCTTTTCCTTGAGACATCTGCACCTATGTCCCATGTGATCATCTTTGAAGACATTTGGCAATCTTGGCAAATCATTAGAGAAAGGGAAAATTGTACTTCTTCAACGCAATACTTAAGGGGCTCTGGTAGCATAGTAGTTACAAATGGGGCTCCTAGCCTCAAGGTCAGCAGTTCAAAACTACCACCTGTTTCAAAGGAGAAAGCTGAAGCTTTCTGTTCCCATAAAGATTTATAGCCTTGAAAACCCTATACAGGGTCACTATGAGTCAGAATCAACTCCATGGCACGTGGCCACTACCACCACCCCCACACTTACCAACACCAACTAAACATGATATTTGAGGAGCACTGGTGGTGCTGTAGTTGCGTTCAGCTGCTAACTGAAAGTTCTAACCCACAGCCTCTGCACAGGAAAAAGATGTGGCAGTTGGCTTCTGTAAATATTTACAAACTTGGAAATCCTATTGCTAGTGTTGTTGTTAAGTGTTGTTGAGTCAGTTCCAACTTTGCAGTTCAAACCTACCTTGTGGTCTAGTGCATTAAGTCACAGCACCACACCAGGACTTCTGGAAACCCTATAGGGCTGTTCTTTGTCCTACAGGATCAATATGAGTTGAAGTCAGCTTGATGGCAATGAGATTGGTTTTTATGGCTTTAACATTTTCCTTGGCAAATTATCTCCTTTTGTTTTTTTATTGTGTTTTATTATTTATAAGCCTTGGTCATTTCTAAAAGGAAAAGTAAACATGTACAAAAAAAGAAAGAAAGAAAACCTAAAAACACCAGTAATGACACCTATTGAAAGTGCCATGGGCTGCCAAAAGAACCAATAGATCCATTTTGGAAGAAGTGCAGCCAGAGTGCTCCTTGGAGGCCAAGATGACCAAACTTTGTCTCTCATACTTTGGACATATTGTCAGGAGGGACCAGTCGCTGGAGAAGGGTATCATGTTTGGTAAGGTGGAGGGTCAGAGACAAAAAGGAAGACCCCCAGCAAGATGGATTGGCCAAGTGGCAGCATCGATGGACTCAAGAATGGCAACAGTAGTGAGGTTGGCCCAGAATCGGGCAGTGTTTCGTTCTGCTGTGCAAAAGGTCGCTATGAGTCTATACAGACTCAATGGCACCTAACAACAACAACCCCAAATCAACAAGTCATAGTTTGGTGAAAATTTTTCCAGACTTCTTCTACTTAAGAGTTATGTCTGTGTGCCACATACATATATATTTTAATGGAAATATAGCACTTAATCTGCCCTCTGCCATCTCTTCACTTAGCTAATATAATGTAGACATTATTCCTGTTAAATATGTATCTATAAAAATTATATCAAGATGGTAGTTGTAATCGATTGAATGAGTGTACTAGAATTGAAACAATATCTTTTTAACATATATCAATTCAAAATTTTTATTGGTATAAAAATCAGTAATTGAAAATAGCTAATCAGTGTTTTTTTTTCCATCAATGTGATTACTATTGCTATTGGTCCCAGGATAAAAGAAGTCTATGCCAATACAGGAATAAGCACATTATAGAATTTGCATTTTATCATTGTACATAGGACTTTTATGTATTTCCCATTTTCTTTAGGGAAAGTTCCCCAAAGCAAATTGGCTCAATCAATGAAGGCACATTTTAGGGGACTTCTACAGTGTAGTAAGACAATTTCACAAGTAGAAATAATAAACATGCCTATTTCTACATTTAATAAGGAGTGATATCAGTATAGTTTCTTTTAAAAATATTTAATATATTGAATTTCCAACTGGTATTCAGAAATCTTCTTTTTTATAGGTTCCACCAGTTGCCCAGAATAGAAGTGAGAAGCTAGTCTACAGTTTCCAAGGAGTATCTCACAAAGGGTGGAAACTAAAGCTAAGAGCTCCTATCTACTGGATACACCGCCTTCCCCAAACATGTTTGCCTCTAATAATGCTTGCTTGGTGCCTGATACTTTCTGGTTAATTGGCATCCCAGGCCTGGAGTCCTTGTACATCTGGCTCTCCATCCCCTTTGGCTCTATGTACCTGATGGCTGTGGTAGGCAATGTGACCATCTTGGCAGTAGTAAGGATGGAACGCAGCCTCCACCAGCCCATGTACTTCTTTCTATGCCTGTTGGCCATCATTGACTTGGTCCTGTCAACCTCTACCATGCCCAAACTGCTGGCCATCTTCTGGTTTGGTGCCTGCAATATTGGCCTTAATGCCTGCTTGACCCAGATGTTCTTCATCCATTGTTTCGCCACTGTTGAGTCAGGCATCTTCCTTGCCATGGCTTTTGATCGCTATGTGGCCATCTGTGACCCACTACATCATACCTCAGTACTTACCCATAAACTAGTGGGCTATTTGGGGCTGGCTGCCCTCCTCCGGGGAGTATTCTACATTGGACCCCTGCCCCTGATGATCCGCCTAAGGCTGCCCCTTTATAGGACTCCAGTAATTGCCCATTCCTATTGTGAGCACATGGCCGTAGTTACCTTGGCATGTGGTGACACAACAGTCAACAATTTGTATGGAATGGGAATTGGCTTCTTGGTATTGATACTGGATTCATTAGCCATCACTGTGTCTTATGTCATGATTTTCAGGGCTGTAATGGGTCTGGCAACCCCTGAAGCAAGGCTTAAAACCCTGGGAACATGTGGTTCTCACATTTGTGCCATCCTAGTCTTCTATATCCCCATTGCTGTTTCCTCTCTTACCCATCGGTTTGGCCATCATGTGCCTCCCCACATCCATATCCTTCTGGCTAACTTTTATCTCCTCATTCCACCTATCCTCAATCCAGTTGTATATGCTGTCCGCACCAAGCAGATCAGAGAGAGACTTCTACACATTCTTAAGTCCGGAACTCAACCCAGGTGACTGTTCTGCATCTATGGCACATATAGATGTTTAATGATGGCAGGAAAAGGCTCTCACTGGGGAAGTACATGCATTCCCTGGGACTTACCTGATCTAGAGGGATAAGAATCTGAGAGAAATACTGGAGTCTAGTCTCTTGATCACTAGCTTTCTGTACAATGAAGACCCCAACTCAGAAAGTGAAGAGGATGAATCAGGGTATGGATTTTGTACTACAATGTCCAGTTCCCTGCCTATTTTACTTTATAAAACTAACTACAGGACTAGAGCTGACAATGAAGTGTCCTGCTGATCTATGAAGTGGGGGTGAGATGTACAAGAATGCCCAAACTTACAGATTCAACCTAGCTTCAATATCCTGATGACCAGAGCTCAACGAGAGGAAGATAAAGAAATTTGATAAAGGAAGAAATGTAACTTACTGATGAATTTAACCTGTAGTTATGGATGTAGTAGCTGAGAAGGAAGGAGTCTTCACATCAAAGATCAAGCCTGCCCCTTCAGTATACAGGGTTGATAGGGCCAGGCAAATTAGACATTGGCTACCTAAAATAGCGGGTTGGGCTATAAAAGCATGAAGTCACTGGCTTACAAGTTTTCAAGAGGGCGTTTAGTTTCAGAGTGTGCAGTAGAAGGTAGAGTCCCCACTGAATAGCTTTCACCTTGTCTAGACGGGTCTGGTGAAAGATGGGGATAGAATTCGTTTGATTCAAAAATGAGTAATTGTTATCATGATTAATTGCAATTGTCACAACTATAAAAGTAGGAGTTTTGTAACATGAAGCGGGAAGTAGTTCATGTTACATTCCAGGAACAGAGGACCTTGGGACCATCAAAAGAGATGAGCATGAGCAGAACAGGGGACCTTATCCCAAGAAGCAGCAACACTAGACATGGATACAGAGATGATGACATGGAGAGATAGAGCAGCTGAGGACTCTAGACTCATGCCTTTGTACTGGCAGCCAGGAGGCTGGCATGCAGAATGTGCCCTTTGATTGTTTATTTGGTTATATATTGCTGAGTGTTTTTGTATACATAAAAAACAAAAACAAAAAATAACAGAGGGAATAGAAGCAAATACTGTTAAATGGTGACTCATGGAGGGGATTGTAATCACTGCAATGAAACAAAATATGATAGGATGAGTGCAAAACCAATGTTCTCCCACTTAAATTATCACTCAATGCACAATAAAAGCTTTAAAACAACAACAACAAAATAATAAGTACAATAAGCATAAACATGCAGGCCACAGAAGTAAGATAATTTCTTTCTTTGACTCTATTGAAGTAGAATTTCTAATGTCTCTTTGAGATTGTTATAAAGTACAATTATGGAAGTTAAAAATTATACTCTGTAATTGCTATCATGACTAATTGCCATTGTCACAACTGTAAAGGTAGAAGTTTGGTAACACAAAGGGAAGCAGGAGTAGTTAATCTTACAGTCCAGGAACAGAGGACCCTAGGATCATCAAAGGAGAAGAGCATGAATGGAATGTGGAAACCTATCCAAAGAGGCAGTGAAAACAGCGATGGAGGCAGAGATGAGGACATGGAGGGACCCAGCAGCTGAGGACTCTAGATTCATAGAAAGAGAAAGGCTGAGTGCTGGTGGCCAGGAGGTAGGCTGATAGAATGTGCCCTTTGGTTGTTTGAATTATTATATATTCCTGAGTATTTTTGTGTACACCACCTCTCTCCCCAAAAAAAGAGGGAATGGAAGCAAATACTATTGAATTGTGATGCACAGAGGAGATTGTAATCATTACAATGAAACAATGAATGTAAAACTGATGTTCTCCCATGTAAACTATCACTCAATTCACAGTAAAAACTGGAAAAAAAAATTATACTCTAGCACCTTCTTGAAGACATTCTACAATTCTGTTAGTAAAGGTCTGGATAATTGCAACCGTGTTAGCAAGTTTTTACAGTCCTTTTGACTTGCCCCAGAAAAAGAGGGAGGCAATATGTGAGAAATCCTAATCTATCCAGACTTGGAATGAGAATCTACTTTCCACTGGAGTTGAAGCTTCTCAAATCAGGTCATTTCCTAATTTAAATGGACAAGTGGATAGGCAATATCCATAACTCCTCCTAATAATAAGGTTACAAGGAACCAGAATGAGGAGACAAAGGAAAAACTTTAGGAGATTTCATTTCAGAAGTTCTGAATGGCATACATGAAGAACAGCAACCTCATTTCAATAATGAAATGAAACAAATGGAGGAAGGTAACAGTGTGATTACTGACAACAGGGAGGAGGTTGGATAAAGGATTGGCCTAAAGGGGACAGTGGTGATTTTAGAATGTTTGCCATTCTAAAATGCCATTCCATGCCATTCCATGCAGGAGACCCTTGTCTGATTTCCCCGTCAACACAGCTCATATGCAACTACCCTCCTCTGTCAGTGGAAGCTTGCATGTTGCTCCAATGCTGAACAGGTTTTAGCAGAGCTTCCAGATGAAGACGACTAAGAAGAAAGGCAGAAAGCCTGGATCATCTATTTCCGGAAAAATCAGCCAGTGAAAACACTATGGATCACAAAGGTCTAATTTATGTGCAATCATGGGGGATGACATAAGACTGGGCAGTGATTCATCCCATTGTATATGAAGATAGCATGAGTCAAGGGCTAAATCAACAGCAAAACTACTGTTAATTGGTATCTCATTAGTATTTTAAAGTTTGTACATTTCTAAACTTTCAATCTCTTCAAGCTATGCACAGAAGCAAGATTTACAATGCTTTTGATTTGTTCCCCCAAGAAAGATGGTTGTGATTACAAAGGCACTAAAGGTACAATATTATTACCCGTGGGTGTTTGTATTGGTGTCAGACTAAATCACAAGTACAGAGGTAGGAAAAAAGGAAAGTAGGTAGGACTTTAGGTTCTAGTCACATCCTTTCCTCCAGGATAACCCTAAGCTTCCATATCCCAGCTGATATGTGCTTAGAGATCGTCCATCAAAGCTAAATAAAATTAAAAGGTGATATAGATATAGATACGACATCAACAAAGATTTGTAATTTATAAAGAAGAATCTCTGTGGAAGCAGAAAAATCACAAGATAAAAGTAGAAGAATGCATTTGTGGAAAATGGTGTATATGGGCTTGTGTGAGCAGCAAAGGTGCACTTCTCAAAATTCACAACTAAAGGAAACCTCTAGTATCTGATGTTGCATGGGAGAGTGAAACACATTTCAATATTCCCACTTACCATCCTCTTATTTCTTCCACTATGCTGGGCTTCTGGGGAGTTCAAATATCAAACTTACTCTGATTATCATTTCCTTCTGTCTCACTACAGGAACTAAGTGCATCATTCCTGCCATAGCAGTCTATACATCCATTGTACTGAACATGGATTTGGCACAGTGTTGGTGCTCAATATTGTGTGAACTGATGAGTAAATGAGGAATTCACGTTCTTGTTTGAGATAGATAAACACATCTGTGTGCAATAAAGGGTTTTATTATATACAAAGAGATGTCAAGAACTTGTCTGATTCAAAGTTTATTGAAAGGGCTTAGCCATAAGGGTGGAGAGGGCAAAAGAAGAAAACAGAATACATAGACTGGCTCAAATGAAGAAATAACTTTCCAACAAGCATAGTTGTCTGACTTGGAAACTGTAGCACGGGAAGGTTGTAAGTCCTCAGCACAAACAGAAACTGAACATCATTGTCAGGATGAAAAAGGAGTGATTGAGAACACCTGATCAAGCAGGTTCAGGGGATGGTCCCAGAACTCTGAACCACATATAAAGGAATACTTAGAAGGTTGGAAGGCTCACAGGTGGGGGAATTTGTGGCAG